GCTTCTAATAAGGAAATATAAATCATACACTTGATGAGGATATGGGTGACTATTTATTGTGGGAAGGCACTTACAAGAGAAACCGGCAACCAAGGTTAGTCTCAGAAGCTTTCTGAGACCCGACCGGAATCCCAAAAAGAGAGAGAGTGTCTGTCTCCTCATTCTTTTATCCACGCCCGGTACGCACCTGTAGCCACGAGCAAAACAGGCATGGTCTGCGGCATGGGCACCTGGATCTCTCCCTACATGCTTCTATTCAACATTGCTCTGGTTTACTTTCTGTTGCTGTGATAAACACCCTGAGAAAAATCTACTTGGGGAGGAAAAAGTTCGTTACCTCTTCCAGGTTCTAGTCCATCACTGAGGGAACTGGGGACAGGAGTGCAAACAGTAACTGTCAGTGGACACCGAAGCAAAGACCATGGGGGAACACTGCTTACTGACTTGCTCCCTCTGCCCTGCTCAGCTACCTTAGTTATACAACCCAGGCGCACCCGCCTAGGGATGGTACCATTCACAGTGCACTGGGTCCTCCTGCATCAATTATCAAAGGACAAAATGCACCCAAAGATATGCCCCTACTGTGATCTGGTGAAGACAATTCCGCAGTTGAAACTCTCAGGTAACTCTGGGATGTGCCAAGTTGACAGCTGAAGTGAACTATGGGAAGCATCATTCTGGAAAATCAGGCCAGAAAAAAGAAAGAAAAAATTCACAATATAAAGGGAGAAAGGTAAACATTTCACATTTTTAAATATAATTTAGTAGATAGAAAAATCTAGAGACTCTGTCAAAGAAAATAGAAGTAAGAAATAAATTTAGTAAAGTGCCAGGATGAAAAGACAGCATCCAAAAATCAGTAATGTTGTCCTGGAAAGAATGGCTCAAGTTTGTATACTGCTCTCTCAGAGGACCTGAGCTCAGTTCTCAGCACCACTCACTGCGGGGATGCCTGCTCTGAGACACCTGATGCCCTCTTCTGGTCTCTGCAGGCACTACACTCTCACACACAACCCGCAAATACAAATACACATACATCTTCAAAAATATAAATCTTTAAAAATAAAAAATCAGTAATCTTTCTATGCCTCAATAATGATCCTGCTGAGAAAGGAATCCCAACAGTGATCCCAGCTGTAATGGATATAACCAAGCAATAACAAAGCACAACGCCTAGGAAAACAGCCAAGAGGACCTTCCCTTCCCAATAAAGGAAACTGAAGGAGACACACTAAAAATAGGAAGATCTGCCCATGTCTGAAGGAACTACATTAAAATAGAAAGACCTCCAATACTGCTTTAAAATAGCATTAAAATGTCCACATCACTCAAAATAAAAACTTTCTGGTGGAATCCCACAAAAGGGGTGTGGAGCAGGACACTTCACATTCTAAAAATTTCTAAAATTCATATTAAAACATAAAAGATCATAATAGCCAAAGCAATCTTGAACAAAAAAGTAACAAAGCTGGAGGTATCACAGTACCTGATTATATGTATATTTACAGAACTGTAATAACCAAATCAGCATGGTACTGGCACAACACAGACACTGAAACCAGTAGAACACCATTGAGATCACAGAAACAATCCCATGCATGCTCAGATAACTGACTCTCTACAGAGGTACCCAAGACCAAACTGGAAAAAGGACCTCAGGACTAAGAATACTTTTCAGGAATAGTGTTTCTCAGAGCATGTTTTGGATGACAGTGGTTTTAACCTACAGATTCAGGATGCTGACAAATGTATGACCTGTGAATAGAAATAGAAGAAGCCTGTGAATCTCAGGATTAAAAAATAGAATAGAAAGATCCCCAGAAAGTACCCTTGAAGTAAGGTTGGACTGTTTAAAAACAGATGTGAGTCCTGATTGGTAAGTAATAGAACTGGTCTGAGAAGGACCAATAGCCTCCACATGTCTACAGACTTATTAAACTCTGTAGTCATGTATAGTTGTGCATTTTAGCACTGTTTGAAACAAAGGTTAGAAACAACCCAAGGGACTTTAGGGCACTTGATAAAAACTCTGGTAGATTTCCATAATGGATTCTATGAAAGTCTTAAGGTCATTTAGAACACAGGTCAATTCCATGCACATAAATTATACAAAGATTAGATACAATTTGGTGGGTAGGTGTCTTTTGCTGTGGGTTTTTAAATCTCAATGCTCTAGCACAGGTCATGAAATATTGTATGAATTACCTAAGTATTTGATGAATGAAAGGGTAAGTATATGACCAAATAAATGGTACAACTCAAACCATAGCCCTTTACAAATGAAATTACTTCCTAAACTTTCTTTTTTCAGAACACTAGTAATTGCCCAGACACTCATTAAATGTGTTATAAGATACACATTACCCTAGATACACAAGGGCAAATTCTTGAGAAACCATCTCTTACAAAAAAATTAAGGAAACTTAAAGCTAGGGCTGGAGAGATGGCTCAGAGGTTAAGAAAACGTAAAGCTAGGTGGCAATACTGATTGAATACACCTGTCTTAGAGTTTCTATTTCTGTGATGAAACACCATGACAAATGAGAAAGTTGGGGAGGAAAGGATTTATTTAGCTTACACTTCCAGATAATAATCCATCATTGGAGGAAATCAGAACAGGAACTCAAGCAGGTCTGGAACCTATAGGCAGGAGCTGATACAAAATCCATGAAGGAGTGCTGCTTACTGGCTTGTCTCTCTTGGCTTGCTCAGCCTGCTTCCTTACAGAATCCAGGACCACCATCCCAGGAATGGCACCACCCACCATAGGCTAAGCCCTCCCTTATTAACCATTAATTAAGAAAATGCCTTACAGCTGGATCTCGTGGAGGCATTTCCTCAACTGAGGGTCCTTCCTCTCTGATGACTCCAGCTTGTGTCGAGTTGACAAACAAAACCAGCAAACCAGCTGGTATACCACCTTTGGATACTACACGGGGTCGTCCCCAGGTAGGGGGTTTCTAGGACCATTCCAGATTGGTTCCTCAAAGTCTTGTGTCCAAAGTGTGTTGTCACAAACCACAGCAATGACCAACATGGCCAAATATACACAAGAGTGTCATAATGGCTCTCATATCTTGGAGGTAACCAACAGCCAGTGCAACTGGACTTAAAGTTGTTCAATAGGAGGGAATTCATGCCAACTACCTGTGCTAGCGAGATCATAGACCCTAGAAAAGGGCCTACTGCTGCTGCTCTCCTGAACCAGTGTAATTCCTTTTGTATTCTAAATATCCACAGGTAAGTGTAGCTCTCACCTCATCAAAGAAATATCTTTTTGCAACAAATATCATCACAAAAATCTGTAACTGGCTAAAATTCAGAGAACTGACTTCAGGGTACTGAACCCCAATTGACACCTCTGCAACACAACCTCTATACCTAAGCCTGGAAATACTGCAGAAGAAAGTATGGGAAGATAGGAAGAGCCAGAAGGCCAGGATGTGTGCTGCAAGGCGGTGTGTCAAGGAGATGCACCTATCAAATCTCAGCAATCTGGCTTTCTAAATAAGGTCAGATCAGGGGAAATGGCACTTCAGAAAGCAAACATTAAATGTCGTCCAGGCCTAACCTAGCCAAATCTAAGTATTACAAAGTCATGCTCCCCGTGCCAGCAAAACAAAAGCATAAAATAAAAGTTAGATTGAGTTGCAGAAAAAGAAAATGCATTCTCCAAATCCTTATAACAAACTATTATAAAATCTGGCCACAGCTAGTTCCATGAACCTTAGAATTCCAGCAATAACCATGCCCATTCACACAAAGAATCCTCTGGCTTCATAACAGTCCCAGACACTTCCCAGTGTAAGGTCTCCAATATTGCCTGCATGCCAGATGGGGGTCTTTCTAAAAGGGACCTGATTTCACGAGAGGAGGTCTCTTTCCTTGGAACAGCCTAGACACTAAGAGTTGAAACCCACTCACTCTTCAAGAATGTGGTCATTAGAGCTCCATCATCTGTCACCTTTAGGTGGTAATTAGAAAAGGGAAGTCAATAGCAGTAGTGCCCAACACTACTTTACCAAGATTTAAACAAGTTGTAATATTGTTGAACACCTATTGATGAGTCCAAATGTGCTGCAGGCCATTGAGCACAGGGATGGGGGAGGCATTTGATGAGAGGTTTTTCATTATTAATTTGATGGCATGAGGTTTATAGACAACAGAGAATACATTGTATTTGTCACATGAGCTCCAGCCTCCCATTGCCAGCAGATCAAATCGGCATCTTGTGGGATGATGCCCCCAAGGAAGGGAGAATACCTCTGAAGTCAGTATCTGGGATTGTATCCCCACAAAAGGAAAATAGTTGAGCCTGATAACTCTTTAAGATTCATTATCAAGTATGTGAGATAAAGGAAAAATCAAGTGGGGTACTTAGAAAGCAAACCTCTGGTTTGCCAAGCTCTGCTAGCAGCCTGTATACTGAGGCACATACCAGATATCACTTAAACTTCTGGACCAGAGTGTTTTCCTCTACAAGATGCCAGTTCCTCAAGTTTCTTTCAAGCTCAATAATTTAGCATTCAGTTTTGTATTTTATCTCCCAGTATCATGATCTAAATAGTATCTTTAGGACTAGAGAGATGGCTTAGAAGCTGAGTACTTGCTGCTCCTCCAGAGGACCTAAGTAAGATCCTAGCACTCACATTGGGCAGCTCACAACCACCTATAACTCCCCTTCCAGAAGATCTGGCACCCTCTTCTTGTCTCTTCTGACATGTGCACTCACATGTTCACACCCCTTACACACACACACACACACACACACACACACACATACATACACACACTCACTCACTCACGGAGAGAGTAAGTGTGTCATCTATATGTTAGAACTTTCTACTATCTCTATCCCCAAACTCTCCTGAACTCTAAACTTACAACTTCCCAGGGCTGGGGAGAGGGTTCAGTCAGTAAAGTGATTTTTCTGCACCATCATTATGTTCTGAGTTCAGATGACCAGCACCCATATAAAATCCAGGCATGTAATCATGTACCTGTAATCTTAAAGCTTAAAAGATGGAGATAGGAGGATCTCTGGAGCTTTGCTGACACCTGATCTTGTCTAATTTCTGAGGTCCATGTTCAGTGAGACAGTCTGAAAAAATAAGTTAAAAGGTGATTAATGAAGACACTCATTGTCAAAATCTGGAACACATACATAAACACATACACGTGGATATCCCACATAGCAAATTGCTTAATGAATAGATAAATACACACGTACATAAAACTACACCCTTGGCTATGTCACTTAGGTGAAATTTTACATTGTGTAAATACAAACCCATGATTCTAATTCTCCCCTGATCCCATTTGTCCCCACCTTTTCTCACCCTTGACTACTTTTCACTTCACAGAAAATAGCCAGTACATAGTGGGGTACTGTGTCTGTCTTCATTCTTAGATGTTCAGACTCCTATCCTTTAGCAGGGTTGGCAGGCTATACAACTGCCCTATATCAGCTCTCCCATTTGCAATCTTATTCAAGTTATTCTTTCCACATTACTGGGGTCTCCCCAACTCTGGTCCACCCCTGGGTTGTGCTCCACCCCTAAAAAGTCTTCCTTTGCTCCTCCATGAATATGGCTGTTGTGGTCTCTTCACCCCTTCCTGACTCCACTGAGTCCTTTCTTATCAGGGACTCCTTTCCTGGTCATCCTTGGCCAAGATCATTCATATTCATTTTCTATGTATATTAAACAACAGATGACCATAAAGTTAATGGCATAAAACAGCATGCATTGGTTTTTATTTTTCAGTCATTAAGACAGGGAAGCCATATCATTTGTAGGAAAATGAATGAAATTGGAGCCAATCATCTTAAGTGAATTAAGCCAGTCTTAGGAAGATAAATATCATGGATTTTTTCCTCATTTGTTGTTCCAAGATTTTATACAGTCACATAAAATCATGTATATATATATGCATATGTTAAATAAAATTAGCAGTAAATTTGTCTAGGGAAAGAAATGTAACTAAGAGGGAGAATGAAAAATGAGACTAGGAAGAATATGTTCAATTATAATATATACCTGTATAAAAATGTTTTAAGTAATAATTTTTTAATTACAAAATACAATAAAACCATGCATTTAGTTGTCCAGTTTCTGCTCAAGTACAGCTAAGTTAGGTTCTCTGTTCAAGTTCACACAAGGGTACAACCAAGTGGACTGTGTCTTTCTCTAAAATCTAGAGTTGAAAGAATCTATCTCTCTCTAAAATCTAGAGTTGAAAGAATCTATCTCCAAACCTAGGTACAGCCTTGGAGACATTTGCTCCTTGCATCTATGTGACTGGGTCCCTGCTTCATTGGTAACAGGGAGGTGAGGATGTGCTTAGCTTGTATGGCCTGTTCTTGGGTCCTTTCCTTGTGATCCCTTCCACAATGGAGCTATTTGCTTCATAGAGAACAGCACGATTAATTTCTCAATAACTTCATGTTGGTTATGGTTCCTCTCTAAGGGGCTTTACCAGAAGAAATCAGTGTCACCCAAGACAACCTTTCTTTGAGCTAATTCAAAAGCAACTAACTTGAGAACCTTAAGCCCATCTTTGGTCTCCTCTCCTACAGCACACAGCATCACATAATCACAGAAATACCTTCTCACCATATATGCAGATGCCAGTCTCAGAGTGAAGATTCAAGGAGTGATGTTCTAGGAGTATGGCCATGGAACTATAGACACCATCTTAGAATTCTGCCTCCTACAACATACCTGGTGAAACCTTTATTTTAATGTTCTTTGCCCCCCTGGAACATCAGATTTATTTCTTCAAAGAAAAATGGAAGATGTCTTAGAACAAAGACTTTGTATTGCTTACTATTATCTCCTGAACAACTGGAACCATACCTAAGTGACATATAATCCAAACTCAATCCATATTAAATATGTGTTGAATGAATTTAGGCATGAATCTCTTCACATCACAAGAAGTTCAGTATCTTCTCTCATATGGTTTGTGATCTCAGTCATATGACAGTCGGCTTCAGTAAATGTTTATTGAATGATACCTCTTTGTCCATCACTTGAATACATTGTAATTAATCCACACAATAAGACTTTCTAAATCACACAATCTCTTCTGAACCTGGTTGGTAGGAAATTGGCTTTCAGGCATACTTTAGGGAATGCAATATTCATGTAGTGGGGAGTAAGCATTTCTCTAGCTGAAGCTCTGTTTCATAATTAAACCCCTCCTCAGCTTTAGATGAGCCCATATTCACATGGTTATACCCACATATATATACACACATGCCTGCACAGGTCCATTCTACTTTCCCTTAAAGATCTGTGTGGTCACAGGACTAAGGTTAAAACCAATGGAAGAAATAATAGACATGACTTGATCACTTGCCCTTAAGTTGTCTCTTTCCCTTCATAGCACTAGAATACAGACATGGAAGTGAGTCAAACTCAGCAGTTTAGGGCAGGACCACAAACTTAGGGTTGGCCAGTCTTCAAACAGCCCATGGGTAGAATTCATGAGTCCCGAAATTGTTCGGGAAAAGTTGTGATTTTCTATAATCTACTGTTGAAATTCAGAATTTTCTTTACTTGAGTGTTGATAAACAACAAGCCACAAAAATAATCACAGTGTCTGATAGATATTATCATTAGAAATCAGATATGTTCTTAGAACCTTTTTAGGTAGCAGTACCTCTTATGGATCCCAGAATCTTGTGTCTGCCAGGCAAGTACTCTACCACTGAGATACATCTCCCTGTGCTGCCAAAAAAGATCATAGATACTTTCATGTAATGTTATAACTACACAGGATCTTGAAAATGTTGATGCTCATCAATATGCTGAATCTGAAGGACTTATTGAACACACCAGTTCTCTTTATCAATAAGAAATCATATATATATTATCACATCACAGGTTTGTCTTTTAAGATTGTGGTCACTGCACTTCATTATCATTTCCTGTGAGGCTTTTTTCATTATTCATTTAAAACCATTTATATAGACAGAGTGCAGATTTCCTCCAGATTTCCCAATGCATCCATGACAGAAGATTCAAAGGTCCTACTCTAACAAATGGTGAGGTATCACTAAAGATGGACTATGGATCCCTAAATGGTACAGAGATGCTTATCAAACATGGATAGTTAATGGACTTTCGGATGCTTTGAACAAGAAAGAGAAGATAAGAGGTTTTAATTAATATGAACCTCTATATCCTGAAGTCTGTGTCATAACATCCAACCATAAGCTTCAGCATCAGTGTTTGCTCTAAGTCCTGTGGCGCTGTGATAAACAACATACTCAGGAAAAGCCTCTGAAGGATTCATAGAGGAGAGAGAGTTCATTGTTTAAATCCATATGGTTCCCAGAAGACCTGTGGTCCCCAAGCAATAGCTCCTAAGGTTTGGTTAACTCATCGCCAGCCCCATCAGGAAGCCAGGTAACCCTACTGAAATAGAGTAGAGCACTGTTCCCAATCATTTAAAACATACAAAACTCCAATTTCTTGTGTAAGAAGAAATCCTCTAAAGGGATTCTATGCTATTTAGCTTTACTTCTACCACCCCAATTCAACAATTTCCCTCTACTTCCCCCATCCCCTGAAATGACAAAAAATAATTATCTGCAATGATCAGAGAACTTGAAAATGAATCGGCTGACGGTTACCTGAAAACTTCCCTTTTTGTCATCTCCACATCTCCTGTGTTCCACAGGCCAAGAACACAAAATTCAGATTTCCATCTAGCATTGAGAGTAAAGAAAGCATCCTCTTGCAGCAAAGGAAAGGGTTATCTCTAATTGAACTATGTGATGGAGTTGCAGAAATCTAAGCACTCAACTTTCTGAACCTACATGGAGAAGTATTAAAAGGGGAGGGAGGACTGGAGATTGAAGAGAATAGCTAGAGATGAGATGAAAACAAAGATAATTGACTGCATATAGAAAAACCATGTTAAAGGGAAAACCGAACCTGGCAACATCATTGAAATTTAAGACACCAAACAAATAAGGATTTCTCTGGGTAGAGACATGGCGTTGTCACAGAAGACAATAGCTTTGAAATAAGCTAGATTTGAGATTGAATAGAAAACCCAGCAGGAAATTCCCAAGAAGCGTGGAATATTTATAGAGGTCAAGAGAATGAAGAAACGCAACAAAATAGACAAATAAAAAGGAAAAAGACAGAAGACCACCTGAAGTGCACTGGAAATGCTCCTGTTGAGAAAGCAGAAAGGAGACAATGAAGAAATGAAAAATAAATTTCAGAAACTTCCGTACCACAGAGAGCATGGGTGGAAGTAGCTTTAGTCAAATGAACAGTGAAACAAAAGATCAAAACCAAGCAAAGGGCAATGGGTTTTATGATTTAAAACAAAAAGACAGATGGTTAGAAAATAGCTTACTAATAATAGATAGATAGCCATGTAAATAAGATACCCTGAGGTGCAGATATTTGCCAGAATACGGACTGAATGAATTATTTTCAGGGCTATAAGAGAATCCTAATCACCCTTAACACATTTTTTTTCACAATTTATGGCAATTCTACTACAAAAAGTATATGTCTACTTTCTATTTATAGTCACAAAATGTGACTATTATTATTTGAAAAATATCTACATCCCAAAAGGTATCATTCCAAGGCAAATGGACTTAGAATTACTAAATGTATGTCATCAATTGAAAACCATGAAGAATTCTGATTTTCATTTCACTTATCAGCAAACTACATGTATTAGATATAGCTGGTCTAACTATATAAAGCACTTCCCCCAAGCTGTTGGGAATGAAGGCATTTCTCTCCATTCCCATTCTACATTGAAGGGATAATATAATTCCTATTTAGGGCACCAGCTAAGCTCAAAAAAGCTCTTCTACAATGGAATCAGTGGAAAGATACAAAAACCATCTCACAGATGAGTGATACCTAATGGACCCTCAACTTTAATTCTGAGACATGAACCCAAATGAGAGAGCTGGAGAGAGAAAGAGAGAGGGGGGGAGGGAGGGGGAGAGGGAGAGAGAGAAGAAAATGCAAGTTTTATCAGAGACTGGAGCAAACCAGGGTGCACAAATTTACACAGGGAAAATTATGTAATTATCAATGTCCTCATACCCTGTCCGAG